GTCATACAACAACAGACTGTCATACAACAACAGACTGTCATACAACATCAGACTGTCATACAACAACAGAGTGTCTTCAGTCAGAGGCTTCTTCAGATCTGTTGTAGGACAGACACTACAAGAGATTCTTCCTGTCCACAGCATCAGCATCTAGAATAACTCTTTAATGAAACCAGGATGATGAGTTACAACATTTAATTTCCCTCTGGGATTAATAAAGTATTTTTGAATTGAATTGAACTGAATTGAAAACACCGTGAAGACTTGGGACGATCATGCAGTCTGAGCGTGTTGAAAGCAAGCTATACTGTGTGAAACGCCATGTGATGGCTGATTCTTGTACTACAGCAAGAAAGCTGCACACAGCGAGAGCTGGCTGGGGGCACAGATCCCGACAACAAACAGTGGAAGCCTGTGGGTAAAAACACGGAGCGTCTTATTTATGTACAAAATTACGATTTATCTTATATTTAATAAGTGCAGCTTAGAGACATATGCATTTTTAGCCCGAGAATTACAGTAGTCTTTTAGAGCTCTCTCAGCCTGAAATGAAACCATTTAATTTAAATGATTTTTTAAACACTTTAAGGGTTTATTGTTTAAAAACTATACAGTAGTTTTTTATTAACAAAAAGCTCATTTTACGGTAATTAAAAAAAGTGCATTTTTCTCCATTAGTATGCCCACTGGGTCAACATGCACATCCTCCTCTGTTCTCTAGAGCTCAGAACTGATGCTTGGTTCTGTTGGCCTAGTTAGGAGTTCTGGACCCCCTCCTCTGTGCAGAGTCAGACCTCCTAGTGGGCCGAACTCCACTCAACTTCCACGTCTTTTTCTTCTTCTTCCTGTAAATTTTTTGGAACTTGACAAATAACTTTGAACCTCCGTCAGAAAGGAGGCGGGAGATTATCTGTTTGGCGGAGGTGGGAGGTGAAAGCAGAGGGTGATGGGGGTGTTTTGTCCCTGAGACTGCCTGTCTTTGCTGCAGCCCCTCGCTCCAACATGCTTTTTTTTTTTTTTTTTGCTGTTCAAACAATTTAGGGTAAATAATGTTTACCTCCAAGGTTTCTCAAAGTGAATAAAGCTCTGAAGCGCTGGGACAAATCCAAACCTGGATCCACCAGAACCCGTCCTATTGCTGTGATCTGCTCCACGGTAGCCATACTGCAACACAAAAAACAGCAAACAATAAGCATCAGCTCTGTGGTGAACTTAAACGCATCACCTGTTCAGACTTTTACAGGTGTGTTGCTGACGAGGGGTTACACAGTGGCCATCTTGGTTCCTATAGCTCAGGGGTATTCAGTCATAATTTAAAGAGGTTCAGTCAAGAGAAAATTTCACGAGACCAAGGTCCGGAAGTCCAACACTTGAATGTGAGATATTATTTTTATATATATATATATATCAATCAATCAACCTTTATTTATACACACACACACACACACACACATATATATATATATACATACACACACATATATATATATATATATATATATATATATATATATATATATATATA